TAAAAGTTCCGTTATGGTTCCACACATGACCCACTTTTTCTAAAATATATAAGAGCAAATATTTGTTGAATGGACAGGGCCAATTCACCTACATATGCTATAATTTTCACTTCAGGGACATGATGTAATTTTCTAATGTTAGAACAGTGAGGTTATTTTGTCCCATGTCAAATACATTACTGAAGATAACTGTAATTTTTCAAAATCAAGAGAGGAAAAAACCCTGCAAACATTGGTCTCTGGTACTTGGGCTTTGGAAGAGGATCCGTGATCTTGTTCTAATGCTCTGGGTGGCTTCCCCCAGCCCCTGCTGGGAGGGTCCCGTTGCCCACAGATGAAGACTGGGGAGCTCATAATGCTAATGACGCATAAATGCATTTTCAGCTATTTTATTAAGCTGGCCTTTCCAAGTTCATTATCACTATTTATGGTTGGGATATGTTCCTCCAGAGACTCTGCAAATAGCTCTCCTATTGTTCAGGTAAAATTGATAGCCAGCTGAAGAAGCTGCACCACATGAGCCCAGGCTTTCTCTTCTTACAGGAAATGAAAGCTCTACTGATGGTTTTGGGTGAGTGCACGCCTCCCATCCACAGGCTCAGGCGTCTTTTAAATAAATGCATTAACCATGCTGTTATGAGCCCAAGAAGGACTGCGAAGGTCTGCATGCCGGAAGGTGGAGAGGGGTGGTGCCCAGGCCCCGACTCCACACCTCCCTGGGTTGTAATCGGCTCTGGCAACTTCTACCTTCTGTTGCTGGGCTCTGCCCTGACAAAGGACCAGTTTCCTCTGGATGCAAAGGTGCTGACAAGATAGTGAGTTCTCTGCCTGGTGGGACTGAAAGGTCTTCTTCCTAGAAGAAGCCACATGGAGCCCTGGTACTGGTGGTGGTGCTATCTGCAGCTGCCAAGGATTTCACACTGTTGCATCTCAAATGAGGCTTGAAATTTCTGGCCAGGCCAGGAGGAAGGAAGTGGCTTTAGGGATCAGCCACACATCTGCTGATGAGCTCTGGGTGGGTTGCACAAGGAGGGTGAGGGGCGCCTGATTCAGGTGTTGGAATCAAACATTGTTTCTGGGACACTTGAAAACAATGATCAATTCTGTACTTCATAAACTAATTGTGGTGAGGGCATGGAGGGATTTCACTAGAGATTCTATTCAGTTGTAAGTACCAGTGCTACCAGCATATTGAGACCAACACAAGGTCACATACCTGATACCTTGAAGATGCCTGACCCGAGCCTCAGGTGAAATCCTCATCTGCAAAACCAGCGGGTCAGACAGGGGATCTCTGTGGTTTTCTTCTGCTTTGAAAATTTGTAATGCCAAAATAGAAGGGACTTCCCTGCATGAGTGCATTTCCTTGCTCTTTGGATTCTAGTAAGATCTTGTTTCTGTTGGAATTCTGAGCAGATATGGATACTGGGATGAATGAGTCCCCTATTATGGTACCCAGACTTTGCCTGGCTGAAGGAAGAGGTGCTGTGATGGGGAATCCCTCATCTGAGATGAAGACCTGCTCTTCTGGTGAATTACTGGTAGTTACAGGTTGTGTCTGGGTCCAACCAGGAGGAGCTAAAGAAAACTAGGGCCTGGCGGCACTGGAGACTCTTATGTAAGAGGATATCCTTATTTTGGAGAAACACCTGCTACATAGTGTTTAAAGGTAGGGAAGTGGCGGGTAGAGGTTTCCAAACACAGCTTTGAAAAAAGATGCATGATGAACCAATCCCAACATGTAATTCTGGATGGGAACCAGGGTATTTCTTTATTTATTTTTGTATTTAGGGCAGGGTCTACAAAGTCTCACAGCATAGATCGGACTCATAGTGATCCTCCTGTTAACAGCCTCCCAAGTGCTGGGATTACAGGAGTGTGCCACCATGCCCAATCTCAATTGCCATCTCAGAGCGCCCCAGGGGCAGGGCTGGCACAGTAGGCCAGAGTATTGAACTCCTGGCCCCTGCATTTGCCTAAGCAAGTGCTTTAATCCACAGAGCTATTTGGCCAGCCTGATCCAGGGTTTTTAAAAAGCAGTTATTAAGGGTATTAATTGGAGCCCTCTGGAAATTTGAATATGGTTATATATTAGATGGTATTATTATGTTGAATTAAATTTCATACATATAAAATTGATGTGTGGTTATGTAAGAGGATATCCTTATTTTGGAGAAACACCTGCTAAAGTGCTTAAAGTATTATGGCATCCGCAGCTTCTATATAGGGTCTGTATGTAAAAAATACATTTACATATATGAAATATGTACGCACAGAGAGATGAGGCAAATGTCATAAAACATTAACAGTTGGTGGATGTGTGTGAAGCCTACATGAGTATTCATTGTGCTGTGCTTGCTGAGCTTCTGTAAGTTTGCAGGGCTTTAAAATAGAAAGTGTGAGGCCCTGTGTCAAAGGTTGGACATACGCTGTAGTGCATTTCTCTCCCTGGAAATCCCTTCTTTGGGGTTCACCCCTGAGTTGGGCTGAGGGGCTCGCTGTTGTTACAACTGAGGCTCATTTCCCTGTTCTCCTCTGAGACAGAGTCAGGATCCTGCTTGTACCCACGCTGACCTGGATGATATGAGACCCACCCTGGGGCTGTCCGTGGAACTCACATGAGTCATTACTTGTCATCACTCAAGCCTTAGGGGCCTGCTTCAGGTCCTACTTCTGCTTAGACCAGCCCCCCTCCCTCCATTTGGGTTGGCCATGGCAGCCTCAAGGGATGCAATGTGGGGTCCAAGGGGTCTGTGAGTAAGACATGTATGGACACCATTCTGCACCTTGGCTTGCCGTGCAGCAGTAGCAGGATTGCAGGCCAAGGTGCCCAGGGGCCCCAGCACAGGGCGAGCTGGACTCCAGACAGAAGTCCTGTGTGAGGGAAGAAGGACAGAGCTCAGGGAGGAGAAGCAGCCTGCAGCCCTATCTACAATGCTTCCATTCTTGCTTTTTGAACAAATCTCAGAAGAATTAGGTCAAGTGAAAAAAAAGTTCAACCTCAGATGATTACTTAGCACATTGTATTATTTTATTTAGATTACCACGTTCTGGATGTGACAAAACTATGCAAATGGAAGACAGATGAGTGAGTGTGAGGGTCATGGGTGGGAGTGGGGTGCTACACAAGGGTACTGAGAGACCCTAGATGGGATGGACGTGGTTTGTGTGTTGACTGGACCAGTGTCCTGGTTGTGACACTGAATTAGGGTCCTAGAAGTTGTTGCCATGGCAGAAATGGGTAAGGGGCACGCAGGATCTCTGTTTCTGTATTTTTATATAATTAAACTTATTGGTACATTTTAGATATACATAATGATGATATTTATCATGGGGAATTTGCACCTGTACAGGATGTATTTTACATGATATATTTTGATTTCTCTATTTTTTCCAATACCCTCCCTTCTTTAAACCCAGCTTCCCTCCCTTTTTACAAAGCTTTGTTTCAATTTGATCCTTTTTTTTTTTTGCAATTCAACAGTGGTAGTTACACTGCACACTGTGGTCCTCGATGTAGCTGCTCAAATTACAGCTATAAGGACATAAAATTGGTCAAAGTAAAAACTGTAAGCATTAACTGCTAGCTTAAAAAAACTGATAAAAATTGGTAGTACAGTCATCTTGGCTATCCTGTGTATATGCTTACAGGATTTTTCCCTTTCCTTTTTTCCCCTATCTTTTCTCCTTTCCCTTATCTCAATTGTTTGTTTCTTGTGCTCACTTTCTTTCCATTTTACTATACCTATTTTACCTTTCAGATTTTATTTACTCATTTAAGTTCTTACACTGGGGAGACAATATGATGCTTCCACATGTGGGTCTGATTTATTTCAGTTATGAGGATAGCCTCTAGTTGCATCCATTTACCTATAAAAGCCTCAGGTTTATCTTCATAGATGAATAGCACTCCATTGTATAAAGACACCACATCTCTTCTATCCATTCCTCAGGTGATGGGCATTTGGGTTGTTTCCAAGATTTAGCTATGACAAATGGTGCTGCTATAAACATGGGTGCACATAGATCACTATGGTATGCTGTTTTTCGTTTTGGAAAAATACCCAGCAGGGGAATAGCTGGCTTGAATGGGACCTCCAATCCTAGCTTCTTGAGGAGTCTCCACACTGATTTCCATAGAGGTTGTAGCAGTCTGCACTCCCACTAACAGTGGAGAAGGGTTCATTTTCCCTACAGCGCCTCCAGCATTTGTTATTGGTTGGTTTCTTGCTGAGAGCCATTCTTTCTGGGGTGAGATGGAATCTAAGGATTGTTTTAATTTGCATTTCTTGAATGACAAGTGCTGTTGAACATTTTTTCATATATTTATTTGCTATTTGTATTTGTTCTCAGAAGTTGTATTTACCTCAGATGCCAAAGAACTGAAAAAATTCACTGCGTCCTTTTCTAAAGCTTTTTTTTCCCATTTCCCTTCCTTCCCCTTTTTCCCCACCTGAGTTCTTCTTTCCTTTTAAACAACTTCTTCCCATTTCACATTTCACACAGATCTCCAATTATTTAAAAAACAATACTTGCTTTTAAAAAAGAAGATATAAGTAAAGCAAATATGGCAAACTGTTGACCTCCACATGGCTCTGTGTACATGGAAGTCTACTGTATTTGTTAAATTATTTTCTCAATGTATGTCATGCCTAGTAAAAATAAGACCTGCTGACAAGATCTTGTATGTGTATAGCGTGCCCCAGGACCTGTGTCTGGTCTCCTTGGGCTGGTGTGACAGAAGCAGCAGTAGGAGCCTCTTGGCATTGGCCGGAGAAGGTCCTGAAGTCTGGCGCTAAGCTCAACCGCAAATCATGCTCCACCATGTCACCATGAAGGAAGTGCGCAAAGTGACACTTGTAAACTCAGTGACAACTACTCCTACACTAAGAGAACCATCCCACAGAGAGCTAGAAGCCTTCAGTTTCTAGAATCCTTAAGCTCTTAAAAAGAGAAACATACATACCAAAATTTATTTATTATTTAGCAAAAAGTACAAGTTTGCAGGGCAATCAAAAAGGACTACAAGAGACATGGAAGTTTAGATGCAAAAATAGAAAAGAACATCCAAGACTCAGCTAGACAGAGATATCATGCTAGGGATCACTAAAGAGGACAGTGTTTCTCGTTCAGCATCTTGAGGGCAGATGTGATTAGAGCAGGTCTACTCACATGGATTCTGAATGACGATCAGAAGATATTCCTTATCTATGGAGAGAGGCAGACAAAATTAATTCACCCTAGAAATGCCATTTAGTGGGCATGAGATAGCTCAGCAGGCAAGCCCAAGCACCTAAGTTCGATCCCCAGTACCACATGCAGGGCTGGCCCTGGAACCCCAGGAGCACCATGCCACCGCCAAAGTGGGCATGGTGGTGCACGCCTGTAATTCCAGTGCTGCGGAGCCTGAGACAGGAGGATCACTACCAGTCTAAGCTGCATAGTGAGACCATGTACCAAATAAATAAATAAATAAATAAATAAACAAAAGAAATTCCATTTAGTAGTTGAGTACACCGGCTGATCTACTTTTCTATTTTAAGTATGAGATGGTCCCTGAGACAGATGGCTGCCCATCAGAATCACCTGGGTGTTTAAAAACTATCCCTCCAAGCTTGAGCTCTGAGATTCTGATTTTATTGATCTGGGGATGGTAGCCCAGGCATAGATCATTTTATTAAATAGTAGGAGAATAACAACAATTAACATATTATGTATTGTTATATTCAAAGTAGTTACTCAAATTATAGTATATGGTCACAAAAATTCTCCAGACAACATTGACACAAACTTTTCAATGAATTAAGTGAAACTAGCAGTGTAACTATTTTTTTCCTTCCTTTCTTTCCCCATTCTAGTTCCTCTTTCCTTTTGTATAATTTCTTCCCACTGCACAACATCTACTGTGCATTTGGGGCTTTACTTCTCCAGTTTCTCACACTAGGGAGACAATATGATGTTTCCACATTGAAGTCTGATTTAGTTCACTTAGGAGTGTGGTCTCAAGTTGCATCCATTTGCCTACGAAAGTCTCAAGTTCATCCTTCTTTATGGCTGAGTAGTAGTTTTCATTTTCAGTGAATCAGGCCCACGGACTGTACAATGTGGCACACAGGTGCCCCAGCCAGAGAATAGAGTGGGGAGAGCCTGCAGGCCCCCTCTGTGCGTAAAGGACAGCCAGCCTGGCCTGCGGGAAGGCAGCAGCCACAGAGCATGTCCTTCCAAGAAGTGTCACCAAGTGACTATGTCACACTCCTAAGTCTAGCCCAGTTCTTTCCTTAGAACAAGTTCTTCCCATTTCACAACATCTACAGTACATTTTGGGCCTTATTTATTCTTTCAGTTTCTCACACCAGAGAGACAACATAATGTTTACACATGTGAGTCTGATTTAGTTCACTTAGGAGTGTGGTCTCAAATTGCATCCATTTATCTATAAAAGTCTCAAGTTTATCTTTCTTTATAGTTAAATAATACTCCATTATATAAAAAGACCACATCTGATAGGCATTTGTTTCCAGGATTTAGCTGCTACAGATTGTGCTGCTCTGAACACAGGTGCACGTACATCGCTGTGATATGATATTTCTAATTCTTCTGAGAAGACACCTAGAAGGGAAATAACTGGGCCAAATGGGACCTCTAATCCTAGTTTTGTGAGGAATCTCCACACTGATTCCCACAGTGGCTGCACCAGTCTGCACTCCACCCATAGTGGAGAAGGATTCCTTTTTCCCCACAGCCTTTCCAGCATTTGTTATTTGTGAATTTTTTTTGATGATGGCAATTCTTTCTGGGGTGAGATGGTATCTCAGTGTTGCTTCAATCTGTGTCTCTTGTGTGACCAATTTTTTCATGTATATATTTTCTATCTATATTTCTTCATCCGAGAAGTGTGCATTCATTTCACATGCCCATTTTTGATTGTGTCTTTCAATTTGGGGAGCATGATTTTGTTTTTTCATTCTTCATGTTCTAGATATACGTCTTTCATGTGAAGGACAACTGGTTAAAATTTCTTCCCCCTAAGGATGCAGGGATGGTTCAACATACCCAAGTCAATAAATGTAACAATATATTAACAGAGCCAGAGGAAAAAAATCACATGATCATCTCAATAGATGCAGAAAAAGCATTTGACCAAGTTCAACACCCATTCATGATAAAACACCCTACAGAAGATTGGCATAGATAGTCTTTATTTTAATCTGATAAGAGCTGTCTATGCCAAACCAACAACCAACATCATACTAAATAATCAGAATCTGAAAATTTTAACTCTAAAATCAGGAAGAAGATAAAGATGTCCAGTGTACCTGGATACATAGTTAACACTAAAAAATCAGTAGCATTCCTGAACACCAGCAATGAACTCACTGACAAAGAAATTAGGGAAACTACACCCTTCACAACAGCACACAAAAAATGACATACTTGAGAGTCACTTAACAAAAGAAGTAAAAGATCTATACATAGAAAACTGCAGTACTCTAAACTAGATCAAAGAGGATATCAAAAAATGGAAAGGTATCCCTTGCTCATGGATAGGAAGAATCAACATAGTAAAAATGGCCATACTACCAAAACTATTATACAGATTTAATACACTCCCAATAAAAATATCATTATCATACCTCATAGAACTAGAGAAATATTCCTAAACTTCTTGTGGAACCAGAAGAGACCTAGAATAGCAAAAGCTCAAGTTCTAGGCAACACAGGCAAGTCAGGGGGCATTGCAATCCCTGCCTTGCAATTATATTACAGAGCTACTGTGATAAAACAGCATGGTACTGGCAAAGAAAATAGACCTCAGGAGCAGGGGAATAGCATAGAAAATGTAGACACAACTCCAGATGCACTCAGCCACCTTATCTTTGACAAGGGGACCACTGGGAAAAAGACAATCTGTTTAACAAATAGTGCTGACAAACGGGATTTCCATAAGCTAAGAACTAAAACTAGACCCATATCTATCACTATTCACCAAACTAAAGTCAAGACACATTAGAGTTCTAAATATTAAAACAGACACACTAAATTGATTGGGAGAGAAAATAGGTAGAAATCTTCAAGACATATGTGAAGACAGAAATTCATGATTTGACTGACCTAGTCAGATACAAAAGTTACATTTTTTGTTATATAGGTCTTGCTTTATCTCGGTCTTAACCATCCAGCAGAAAAGTATAAAAATGAGGTAAAAAAGTAAAGCCATATTAATATGCTGAGCTTTAAAAGACTCAAGTCAACAACTTCTGACATTGCCAGTCACGCAGATAACCCACTACTATTATGGACTACTGGACTATATTGGATTACTTTGCTGAATTCATGCAGCTACAATATATGAATTGCAATGGAATACCCATCTCTGACAAAAGTAAACAAAAAAGGGGATAGAAATGAAGGACCATTTTGTAGTGAAAAAAATACATATCTGTATATACAAAATAGTTAGCACAGATATACAGCTACTTTCTCTTAATTCAATGAGAAGAAAGTTTTGAACTAGTAGTTTTAGACAAGATATCATGTCTGCATCTTGTACTATGAATAACTACTACAAAGACAACAATATGCAATGTATTAAACATTAAAACTGTTCCACTAACCTGTTTTGAAACTGTCTCATTGCTACTTCTTTCTCAATAAAATTAATTAAAAAAAATGAATGAAACCCAGATGGCATAGAAAATACTATAAGGAATTAACAACGGGAATCTCATTTATTAAAATGTATTCGCATGTCAAAAGCAATCGCCAACAGAGTGAAAAGATAACCCACAGAGTGGCAATCCTAATGGGACAGATGTGCTACCGAGAAGTTTGTTTTAGGCTAGAGCGAGGAGCATGACGTAGTCATTTAGCGACTCATCATGAAAAGGCGTACTCTGGGGCTGCTGCCCTCCTTTAGGCCAGGCTGGCTGTGCTTTGCTCACAGAAGGAGCCTGGCCTGCAGGCTCTCCCCACTTTATTCTCTGGACAGGGCATGCGTCTGCCACACCCTACAATTTGTGTGCCTCATTCACTGAAAATGAGAACTACATCTACATTTCTGTTAATAGTAAATGCACAATGGGCAAATTCAGTTCATTCAAAGGTCACACCGATCATTAATTTCATAGAATTTTCAAGTTGGAATCCTCAGATTCAAACATCTGCATCACCTTTTTTTATGTATTTGGTACAGGGCTTCACTATGCATCTTGGACTGGCAGTGATCGTCCTGTTTTCAGCCCCCCCAGTGCTGGGATTACAGGCGTGCACCACCATGCTGGTTTTTGGTGGCTGGCTCAGAACTCCTGGAGGCAAGGCTGGCATGGCATGTGATGCCAGGGTTCAAACCCGGGTCCCTGCACTGCCTGAGCAGACGTAGTCCACTGAGCTATCTTGGTGGGCCCCAAACAGCTGCATTTTATAAGCCAAGAAAATTATGCTTTATATAGTGTATTCAAATTGGTTAGGATAGATATATAGTTACATTCTCTAAATGAATAGAGGGATTTGTTCTAATGGTGTTTGTAAATAGGATATCAAGTCTGCATCTTGTACAGCAATTAACCACTAGGAAGAATGTATGCAATGTGTTAATTATTGAAACTGTCCTACCAATTTGGTTTGAAAATGTCTCATTGCTATTTGTTTCTCAGTAAAATTATGGAAAAAAATAAATAAAGATGAAACAAAATCCATACTCCCTGCTTTTTGAAATAAGGCTTTTAACCAGTGAAGTGGAAAGATGCTTTAAATATACAATGAAATGCCAGGTTACCTGGAGCCACCATGATTTCGTGTTTCTTTGATCGGATCCTAAGGAAAGTTAAGTCGTTCTGAGGATCAATGTCACGGATCGTGCTCCTAGCCTTCATGGTGAGCTGGTGAAGAAGGCCTGCATACTGCACCGTGGTCGAGTTGTCCAGAGTAGTCCGGATGGGGATGCCTGTTATGAAATTTGATTTGGTGTTAACATTTTCTGATTATAAAAATAGGCTGAATGTTATAAAGTCACAGCAAAACAAGGCTAACTGCAAAGATGACAAAAAAGTATCAGCAGATGTTACTGGTATCAATTTTAGTTTATAGCCTTACAACTTTTTCATCTCTATATCGACTTTTAAGTTTAGACTATATAGACTAGCCTTTCTGAATAGTAAGTTGTATTATGGAAACCCGTGGGCATTTTTCATACATACTGGAGCACTATCAATGAAAATGACTGCTGCTTTTTTCTTCCTTTAGGTTGAAGCATACAGCTGTCCTCCCTGATAACGACATAAACATTAGTTTTCATCTTTGCATATTTACACATTTTGTGGGCGAATCACAATACAGTTAATCTCTTAGTGTTTGGACAATTGGTCTGCACATTTTTATAGGTAATGGTGTGATCAATGTTTTGTGCATACATCATTTGGAAGCTGTTCATCGATTATTTTAGCCCTAAGTGGAAACATTTTTATGCAAAGTGCCCTCCTCCAGCGTCCTGTCTATAGCAGGTCTGCTTTGAAATGCGTTGTGTGAGGCATGGTGTGTCTTTCTTCCTAAACATAAAGGGCTATTGCGGCCCATGTTGGAGTCAAGAGACTTTTCAGAGTTTCTCTGTAATGCCTTCCACAGCACTTTGCAAGCCTTACATTTTATGTTAGACAAACAAGGTAACAGATTATGTAGTTTTGCTCTTAATTTCCTTGTTTGCACTCAGTTTTGATTTTAAACATGATTAAGCTTGGCTACTTGATTGCTCTATTGTTCTACTCTATAGTATAAAGCACATCTATTAACGTAGCTGGAAGATTCTAGCTAGACAAGTATGCATGTATAGTTCAGTGCTGCTCAAATCAATCCAGCTAACTCAGGTCAGCCAGTGCTTCGTACCTATTATGGAACCGGTGCTGTGATAGGCAGTTTTTATAAACCGTATTACATCTAAACAAGGCGAGTCTTTACAGTGGGTTTTTTAAAAAAAATGTATTTAGTACAGGGGCTACAGGGTCTCACTACACAGCTCGGACTCATAGTGATCCTCTTGTTTTCAGCTTCCCAAGCGCTGGGAGTACAGGTGCATGCCACCACGCCCAGTCATAGTTGCTGTCTTTGTGCACCCCGGGGGCCTGGCTGACAGCATGTGGGGGATCGAACCTCAGTCGCTGCACCCTCCCAAGTTCATAGTGTTTTGAGGGCTGCCAAATAAGAATCCCAGGGTTTTATTTGCAAAAGTGCCTTTACTTGAGAGGGACGCACAGAGTGAAATTGGGATTACTGTCACATTCCTTAGGTATCTGGATTAAGGCCAATCTATAAAAGAATCTCACCTATTCTCCATTTTCCTTCAGGAAGGACAGCTCTGGAAATAATTACAAAAAGAGCACTTGCCAGTGTAGAAGACTACAATGAACTATAAGTATTATCAAATTTTCATGAGACTGTTGGAGAGAATCCATTTTTACCCTCCAAACGACTATTGTCTTTTTAAGATAATTACTATCTCCAGAATAGGTCTTGCTAAAGAATGTAAGTACAGTACTTACAGGGAAGCATAGTCAGTAGATAAGGGATTCTATGCAACAGTTAATTCCCACATTATTATTGGTTGCCTATGCCTCCCCTGAAAGGGACCCACTTGTCTTTCACACCTGGTGGAAGGTCACAGAGCACATTGTCAACAAACAGGAAACAGAAATATGGCTGGCACTCAACCTCTGAGGAGAACTTTTATGAATACTCTTATTTTGCATCCTAAACCATGACAGCTCATGAAGACAGCATTGCTCAGCATTGACAAAAGAAATACAATCCGAATAAATTATTTAAAGTATAGATGACAAGATTATGAGTCAGATGTTCAGGCCTATTTAGTTGGCCTATTATTATGTTCAGGCCTATTTAGACTCACTTCAATGAATAAAACAGCCTTTCTGAATAGTAAGGTGCATTATGGAAATGTGGGCATTTTTCTTATATATTGTAGATGCTTAAAAGCAAACAACCACTATTTAGTGAGCTTTTGCTTAGTACCTTGTGAGATAATTAAAAAACAAGTTAATAAAGACTAATTTTAGCACAGAGTATCCTTGGTATTCCTCCAGAAATACTGTAGGTTAATTCCAGAGTTTATGCATTTGTGTTTATAATGTTTGCTCTTGTGGTATCATTATGCTGTACCTTCACTTTCTTCAGTTCAAGAAATGGCTTGATTCCGTTTGTGTAGAGGTGATTCATTCCTGTTAATAGTCTGCCAGGTGGCTGCTTTGGAATGTACTGACTAATACGTCCTCTTCATGGACATTTAAGTTGCTCCCATCCTTTGGCTTTTATAAATGGGGCTAAAAAGCTGACCTGAGGCACAGCACTTCACATTTGTATATAGGTATAGAATAATTCTGAAGATGGAGCTTCTATAATGAAGAATAGGCACATTTTAAGGTTTGATAGTGCCAAATTTATGGTACTGTTTTAAAATAGTATATGATCCCAGTAAGCTGGTACTTATTACATCAGTTTATCATCTTCAACTGTACATTTGCACTTTGGTTGTTAGACTATATTTCAAAATGAAAAGAACTGGCTGATATAATGTATTGAAATTCAAATGGTGGATTGTTAGAAGTGACAAGAATACTTAAAATTAAGAGCCTCTAGGAATCTGACTTATATACTAGGAATATATGACGGATATGACCATGTAGGAGACAGATGTTTACATTCACTAGTATATAATGGAATGATTGTGTCATAGCATTATAAACGATGGTGATTTTACAAATAGGAAACCGATGGTAATAAGTAAGGTATGCTAATCAAAACCTATGCCACTCAACACTGCTAGATTGATGTCTATTTTACTATCATAAGCAGGTAATCTGTGTTTGTACAACAGTGACACCAAAGGCCTAATATTGAAGATGGCATGTGGATGGCTTGAGCTGAATAGACACACTAGACTCCCTTAAACACAAATACAATGTGAGATATATTAAAGTAATTTGTTGGCAGAAAAAATGGCTGCCACCAGTTTGGCTCTGTTCTGTAGAAGAATCTCAGCAGTCCCAAAGGCTTCTGGGTCATTAAAAACTCCTAAGGCTCCCCCGTTGGCACAGGGTTTTCTTTCAATTTGTTATCTAAGAATGCATCAGATGGCACATCCTTTCGGCAGTGTAGATTACTTCATACCACATTGTCAAGAAGAGGACTGGAAGAATTTTTGATGACCCAAAGAATTTGGGGCAATAAAAAGTGAAATCCGGAGCTGCATGGGCCTGTCAGCAATTACGGAACAAAAGTAATGAAGATTTACATAAACTTTGGTATGTTTTACTAAAAGAAAGACACATGCTTCTAACTCTAGAACAGGAGGCCAAGCAGCAGGTATTACCAATGCCAAATCCAGAAGGGTTAGAAAAGGTAGTTGAGTCCATGAATGCATTAGATAAAGTTGTCCAGGAAAGAGAAGACGCTTGAAGGCTTCTCCAGACTGGTCAAGAACAAGCGAGACCTGCTGCTTGGAGAAGAGACATCTTTGGAAGAATCATTTGGCACAAGTTCGAGTAGTGGCCTATACCTTGGTACCTAAATAAAAGTTTTAACAGGAAACGATTCTTTGCAATGCCTTATGTGGACCATTTTGTCAGACTGAAAACAGAAATGGGCCTGCATTAGAGCAAGAAAGAGGTGTCTGGAAAAAAAAGCAACAGAAAATTCTGCAAGAAAAGTTTCCAGGGGCTGGGGAGATGGCTCTGTGGAATAAGTGCTTCCTTGGCAAGCGCAAGGGTCAATCCCCGGTTCCACAAAAAAAGAAAAAAGAAAAAAAAGAAAAGTTTCCACACCTTGCTGACACCCAGAAGTCAACGCTTGGATTAAAAAAAAAGTCTAAAATAATATTTTTGGTTGCATAGCAGTCTCTGTACAAAAATAATAAGTGGTTTATAAAAAATAAAGTAATTTGTCTATAATTAGTAGACCAAAATCAGTAGGAGAGAACAAGGAGACACAAATACCATGTTGGTTAATTATTTTCTGTATCAAATTTCACGGGATTTTTTTTTTTTTTGAAAGCCGGAGAGCTATACACTGATGAATGACACTTTCATCTACAATTGAGTGGGTGCTGAAACAGATTGAGACTGCGACATGCTGGTCACGTAACTTACGCTACATACTATTCAGAAACACCCTTCTCCTACCTTCTGCTATTCATGATCTCACCATAAAAACAGCCTCTCCTTTATATTCTTAGGAAAAAGGTTAATGTAACTTTCCAGGAGAAAATGAGTACCCGTAAGCCTTGAAAAATGCCCTGAATCTGGACACAACCTCATCCTGGGAGAGATTCATTAAAATTAATGGACATTGCAAATATTTTGTTGGCTTCCGACGAGAGAAGTTTTTGAGAAACCTCAAGAAAACAGAGTAAGAATCATTTTAAGTCTACTACTCAACAGATTCCCTACTATAATGTATCCTTACTTTTACCCTTGCTTGGATGTACGCGTGCACCTGGCTGTGCAACTGGTGAGAACCTGCTGGTGTGAGTAGTGGCCCAGCATTCTGCAAATATCCTTCAGCATTTGAAGCAGGGTCAAGCTCATCAGGTAAATATGACAGGATGGATTTTAAACTTCCCTCGCTGTTGGCATCGATTTATTTCATTTGCTTATTTATGCATTATTAGTGCTATGGTGCCTCAGTGAGTATGTTTTTATGTTCTCCTCGTTTTTCCTTCGTATAAACTCCTAGGTGTAGATTTATGGAGCAAGGATGTGGCTTCTCATGAGCCTTCTAAAGCAGATTGCCAGGGTTATGTGCTCCGGGACAACACCGTCCCAGCATGTGTATGAGATGAGCAGGGCTGGCTGCTGCAGGCGAATGCAGCACTACTGGGGTGCCTCCAAATTCAAGGCCAGGCTAAACATGATCATCTGGTCTGGAAAGAGAGTCTTTGAAGACACCATTAGCTAACATGAAGCCATTCAGGATAGGGTGTGTCCTAATCTAACTGGGGATGCAGGAGAGAATTCCGTGTGCCCGTGGAAGTGTGAGCTGTGGGGTGCAGTGTCCCTAAGCCAAGGGATGCCAGAGACAGACAACCACCACCAGAAGCTGGAGCAGGGCTAGGAAAGCTTTTCTGGTAGAAAAAGACCATAACTCAGTGATGTCTTCAGGACACTACTGGCCTCCAGACTGAGAGAATGAATTTCTGTTTTAAGCCGCCAAGTGTGAGGGACTTTGTTGAAATAAGCTAAGCACCACAGCCCATGCCAACCTAGGGAGGCATCTCTGTGGAATCATGAGAGAGCCCATGTGAGGGCATGGGGCAGAGGGCACGCAAGTACTTGGAAGAACTCCGTTTAACCAGACGCGCTCGGGGGGCTGGATCACTTCCCAGAGCTGAGTGGCATGGCTTCTGACTTACCTGTAAGGATGAGGGTAGGTCCTCTCTCCCCTCTGGGTAGTCAATCTGAGTGAGTTTATTATAGTTATATTCATACTACATATTTGGTTTTGAGTTATTATATAAAAATCAAATATTTTATGTGTGAAAATTAGTTAAAATGTCAGCATCCTCACAATGATTTAATTGCAATTCTATTTTGTGTTAGCTATTTTAGGGGGCACACTTGACAATTATTATTTCATGTAATCATCAGAACCACTGGTGAAGTACAGCATGTTCTTTTCCATTCATGGTAAGGAATTAAAATTCAGAGCACAAATAGAGTTTCAGCTTCTTGTTGCACTTTAAGGATGTACTTGATGAATTTTGCCAGGCCCTGAGCTGGTAATATGCCAGGTTTACAATTGCATCGGGAATTATGTGAAGTACTGAATTATTTCAACCATGGTCTGAAATTTCTGGTCTCTCTTGCCTTTACTAATGGCCAAATTAGCAATGGAACCAGCAGGCACCTTTAAGAAGTCACTGCCATGGCCAAGCTTGGGGAGGTGAGGCGCTATGTGGATTCTTAAGGAGGCTTGTGTAGAGCGAGCCAGGGTCTGGTGCGCCTTCAGATTCTGTGGCTGGAAATGCATGGACCCTTGGATGCTATATCCACAAAAACAATAACATCCGAAGGAATTCCAAGTGATTTCTTTCTAGGTGTGATAAAGGAACATTTTCACTTAAAATGAAGACTGAACCTTTGTACCTCTTACGATGGCAGAACAAAAATAAAGGGCTAGCAACCATAGTCTCCCTGTCTTACACATGATTAGTTTATTGACACTTCTGAAATGATAAGAGAAATATTAAAGTTTTAAGTAGAGTTTCTTAGGAATACACACATATTTTCAGACATAGCTAACCAATATGAATAGCCCTAGCCTTTAGCAGAGTGCTTGACATATAAGAGACACTCAACAACGTTTGATGTATAACTGTGATCACTAAATTTACAAAATAAGCTCATTATCTCAAGTTGTAAGATGTTTGTTTCAAGGCTTGACACCATACACAAATTCCTGGTTGATCCCTGTGTGCCAGGAAGGCAGCCTGAGGCATATTTACCTTCTGCATTTACAACCATGGTCCCAATGACTCCTTTATGGCTCTGGATCCTCTTCAGGGTTTCCTCCACCTCCGTCTGGAAGAGATCAGAGAGGTAACTAACCTGAAGTCTCTCCACAGTGCTATCGCTCCTAAGGAGAACGATCTTCAGGATCCTACGTTGTCCCATTTCCTTAATGTAAGATAAAGGTACTGTGTTACAACCCCAGATTTTTAAAATTACTGTGTGCTATGATCCCAGATTTTTAAAAGTATTGGGTATAATAATTCCAGATACTTAAAAGCCAGCTTGGAAATCACCAAGCCCTACACAGAGATCCATATAAGATCTCTGCACATTCAGCCCTGACAGCTCTCTCGCTTGTTCCCTTTTAGTGACAGGCACCATACTGCCTCACGAGAGAAGAACATTCACCAGAAAAGTTCTCCTCACAGTGCATAGGAATTTCCTGGATCACTTTAATGTTGATCTTTCTGTATTCACAAAACCTCCTTTTGTATGCTATTGTCTTTCCTTCCTCTAAAAGTGGCTTTTATTGAGAAATTTTATCTTCATTTGTGTCACCTAATTGGTGTTCATTCAGATGATTAAGTTTCAGAAGGGTATTGTAACAAAGCACTGTTTTTTTTTTTTTTGGTGGAATCATGGATTGAACTCAGGCCCTTGAGCTTGCCAGGCAAGTGCTGTTTCTATTGAGCTATCTCCCTGGTCCCTTCAGAAGGGTATTGTTGAAAATAACATGTTCCCAGATTTCAGGGTTCTCTTGAGAACTACAGCTTGAGTCTTGGTGCAAGCTGAACATAAACCAGAAATGGTCACGTTGAGACTGTGCTTGAGTTTGAAACTATTTTTTTTTTGCATAAACTCTATTATACCAAGTTTTCTTCCTCTCTGGAGATGCCACAATTAAGAATATTATTTTCAAAACATACAAAAGCTTTTCCAAATATAAAGTGAATGAGAAAATTAAAATTTTTCTATGTTAACAGACACATGGCCATTAATTCCCATCAAATTATTCCCCTTTTAACATGTTTGTCTCCAAATTTATTTATTTATTTATTTGATACAGGTCTCACTATGCAGTTCAGACTCCTAGTAATTCTCCTGTCTCCTCCTCCTCAGCTCTGGGATTGCAGGTGTCTGTACTGCATGCGGTACCAGGGATCAAACTCGGGACCTTGCACTTGCCAGGCAGGCACTGACACTGCCGAGCTATCTCCTCAGCCCTTGTCTCAAAATCCTCGTCCTTCTCTCAAGCAGCTCTGGAAGCCAGCCTGCTGCTGCTCAGTGCCATCCGACAGAAGGGCAGGTGCATAAAACCACTACGGTGTCCGGATCTAGTGCTGTGTGACTCTGCCCCTTCCCCCAAGTAAGAAGGACAATGAAGAGTAAAAGCTTCCAATAGATTCAGGACATTGGGTAGCCTTGATTGTGCAACTGAGACACTCATGCAAGTGGGCTTTCCCTTGCAGGAAGTGAGAGGGAGTGTTCTGAGAGGGATTAATGGTAAGGTGCCTTTTACTCTAATAAATGTTATGATTTTCACCATATTACTCCACCTATATAGTTCATGTCTGAGCAGCCACCAGATATTCTGAATTTAAAGAGTATCCTGCAGTCTATTGAGGGGACACTGCGATAGTCTACTCTGTCCCCTGAATCACATAGGTGAACATTATGTCACTTTAGTCAAAAGACAGACTTTTTTTTTTACCCTTCATGTAGATCTGAGCACTTTCCCAGCATTCTAGTGGATGTTTTCTCAATTTCAGGCATTTTGTACTGATTCACAAGTTTTGCCATTTTAAACACTATATTCTTGCCTAGCATGTTCTTTAGTCTGGATGCCAAAAAAAGCTTAAATAAGTGCATCTTAAGAGAAATTGTTTACCTGGAAAATAAAAGGAAACATGGTATTATTTGTATAAACAGAAACAACTGGGAAACCAAAACAAAATGAAGACAGGGCACATGGTTTTGATTTCTACTCCAGGGAGAGCCTTGAGTTGGAGTCTCATCAGCCTGAGCCCAGAGTCATCTCTCACTTCAGGTGACAAACAGAAATTATCAAACGATAGGTCCTAAGGTACCAGAAACTTTCTCCTCTCTAAAGGCTTAAAGAGATGCAAGGAAGAACTTTCTCACGAGGTGACTCACTGTCATTTGGCAAGCTGGGCTACCTTGCGTCTTGATGCATGTTTGCTGTCTCACTTGGGGACATGTTTGCTGGAGCCCAATATCTGTACAGGGCACCAATCCTATATTACCTTTCTGATAATCTTTGAGACAAGGTCCACATTTACAGCCATTGTCCTGTTGATCTTTTCTTTGCTTGCTTCCCTCTCCCCGCAGTGGTTCTCTTCTCTGCCTTGCTGAGTCCTCCTAGTACAATATCTTAGCCCTCCCCGACCCTGCTTGCTCCAGTCCCTGTCGTGCCTTCCTTAACTTTTTTTGTGAATGGAAAGGATGGATCTCTTCCCTTTATCGTCTTTCTCCTTTCTCTTGATTTTCTTCTCCCTCAGTGTTTCCT